CCCACCCCGACCCCAGCCTAGACTCCCTTGGCTGTGGATGGGACAGTCACTGGGACAGCACTGCTTCACAGGCTGGCTGTGGGAGATAAACAAGATCAGGCACCGAAAGCATGTTGACATCACGCCGGCCCACGCTGAGCACTGCCAGCTTCCGGTCTCATTCTTCCTGCCCACCAGCTGCCCTGGCCTGCGTCAGCACTCTCTCAGAGCTCGAGCGGGTTTATGAACCCACTGCTGCAGACACGGGCTGCCAGCCAGCGACCAAAAAAAGCTTTCCCTGACACGCTCTGGCGCCTGTGCCAAGCCCAGCTGCCTGCCTGGTTTAGGAAAAGTCAAACTGGTCTTCGTCATCCTGGTGCCCTCACTGGGGCCTGGCTTGGGAGATGGTAGGAGGCCCAGTGGGGGGCTTCTGGGAAGAGGTCCCGGCTGATTATAACACCCATGGAAAGCGATGGCCAGCCCTTCCTCTATTCACTGTGGTTGTGATCAGATAAAGACCTCAGTGGCCTGTTGTGGCCCACTGAGCGGAAGGGTGGTGTGAACCTGATGCTCAGTGCCACCACCAAGCTACACGTTGGCCCTAGAGCCGTCCTCCCACTTGGCTTCCTACTTGTGAGGTGACACAGTCTCCTTGCAGTATAAGCCAGCCAGTTGGGTTGGGTTTTCCAGGAGTTGCAGCTAAAGGCAGCCTGGCTGCCACTTTTGCCTGTGGCCGTGAGCTGCTCTGCACATGGACGTGACCTCCACGCTGCTGGAGGAGTCTCCATCCTTCCCTTGTAGCCTAGGAGGGGACATGGAGCCAGGGACTAGCTCGAGGGGCTACCTCCCTTCCTGGAGATGACATAGTTCTGACCCTAAATGTGTATCACCTCTTTGAATCTGAGGGGACTTGGGGCACATGGCAGCCACAGCTCTGTGACCCCAGTGAGCCCAGCGCCTGCTCTGCTGGATGAAAAGAGGAGCCCCACTGCGACAGGGGTGGAGTGATGGCCACACTCCCAGTGAGAGCTCCGCCCCAAGAGCTCCTGACATTTGGCTGAGGCAGTTCCAGCCCCTCCACCTCCTATGACCCCCGCTCACCCTGGCAAGGGAGGCTTCTGCCAGGCTTGGTTGGGCCCCTCTACCCTGGCTCTCCCTGCCGCACCACCAGAGGGGAAGCAGCAGGTGGGCAGGCCAGCTCGAACAGGCCCTGAGCTACCAGAGAGTCCTCTGAAGCTGGCCAAGGACACAGTGCCCAAGGACAAGACCAGTCTCAGCTCCTCTGGCACTCAGCAGAGTGGGTGGTGAGCGCCTGTGTTTACTGTTTATCCTCTCTCACCTGCGAGACTAGCGCCCACAGGGCAGGGAGTTTCTACGTGTCAGGTACACAGAAATTTGCCCATAGAGAGAGGCATGGAGTGCTGGGTATAAAACTCCGGTGACCTGGGCTCAAATGCACAGGAGCGTCTGACCTTTCAAACTGGGCAGTCCTGTGGTACCTTAGTTTCCCCGCCTGGAGTGTGGGAATAACGCCAGCACCTACTTGTGAGGGTGAGACGGTGGACCATCATAAGGCGCCTGCAGTGGGACTGGCGCGTCTAAGTATGAAAGTGTCAGCCTGCGCAGCTGCAGCTGTTGTAGGGACTCCATATGTGTTAGCAGGGGAGGGGAGAAGGGAGGAAGAGAAAAGGAAGGGATGGAGGGAGGGCAGGCCATCTGCACACCACATTCCTACATCCTCTGTCATACAAAAGCTGCCCTTTGTGCGGCCACTGAAGGGGACACCTGTGGCTTTGAGGGTCTCCAGAGACTGTCTAGGTGAGTGAGTGGTCACTGTGGAAGGGCAGCTGTTCCCCTCCTCTGGAAGTCTGACACATAAGGACTCTTTCCTGTGCTTGGGGACTGGCGACACATACAGAGCGAGTGCAGGGACAGGGTGAGGACAGCCCCCTCTTCTCTCAGTGCCTTCACTCCTAGGACTGGCATCCTCTCCAGGAGTCTCCTGGAATTCCAGCTACCCCCTGCCTCCAGGCACAGCCAGCTTCTCCCTGGGGCTCCCTGAGTGGGATGGGCAGGGTCCCCATAGTGCCCCGTGCACCTGCAAGGTTGGCAGCCTGCCTTTGGGGAAAGAGCACTGGACCTTGAGTCTTTTTTTTTTTTTTGGAGAGGTTTTCGCTATAGGGCGCGTGCGCTCGCCAGACAGACAGAGACATAGAGACAGAAAGCGAGAAATCACCCCCCAGGGGGGATGGTCACGCCGCAATCCCTTCTCCTCCAGTCTCCTCTCAGGATCTTGGGCACGCACGCACACGCGCCCGGCGTGAGATTTAAGCCACCGGGTCCGAGACGCGAACTGCGGTCGACTACGTGGGAGTCCAGCGACATAGCCATTACGCTAACTGCTGGTTCCCTGGACCTTGAGTCTTGAAGTCTGCTCGTGGGCACCAGCTTCACTCAGTGTGGACCCCTAACCCCTGACTGCACTCTGGGCTCAAGTCCCCCACTGTGGCAGGGGGCTCACAGCACCTGGTGCGCAGACCTCTGCGAGCATCAAGGGCGGCCTCTTAGCACAGCTGGGCATGGGTAAGGTTAGCTTGTGTTGCTGCTGCAGCCCTTTTCCACCCTCGCCTACCTGCTGGTGCTCCACCCTCCACCATCCTGCATCTCCACGCTCACCCTCCTCCAGGTACTCACCCTCCTCCAGGTGCTCCTCCATCCTGGTGGAGTCAGATTTATATGTACGTTGGTGACTAAACCCAGCCCTCGCCCAGAGCCCAGGCCATGTCTCCATCAGCCCTGGAGTGTCTCCATTAGCCCTGGAGTGTCTCCATGAGCCCTGGTGTGTCTCCATCAGCCCTAGTGTGTCTCCATCAGTCCTGGATTGTCTCCATCAGCCCTGGTGTGTCTCCATGAGCCCTGGAGTGTCTCCATCAGCCCTGGTGTGTCTCCATCAGCCCTGGAGTGTCTCCATCAGCCCTGGAGTGTCTCTATCAGCCCTGGAGTGTCTCCACCAGCCCTGGAGTGTCTCCATGAGCCCTGGTGTGTCTCCATCAGCACTGGTGTGTCTCTATCAGCCCTGGTGTGTCTACATCAGCCCTGGAGTGTTTCCATCAGCCCTGGTGTGTCTCCATCAGCACTGGTGTGCCTCCATGAACCCTGATGTGTCTCCATCGGCACTTGTGTGTCTCCATGAGCCCTGGTGTGTCTCCATCAGCCCTGGCGTGTCTCCATGAGCATTGGTGTATCTCTATCAGCCCTGGTGTGTCTCCATCAGCCCTGGAGTGTCTCCATCAGCCCTGTAGTATCTCCATCAGCCCTGGTGTGTCTCCATCAGCACTGGAGTGTCTCCATCAGCCCTGGAGTGTCTCCATCAGCCCTGTAGTATCTCCATCAGCCCTGGTGTGTCTCCATCAGCACTGGAGTGTCTCCATCAGCCCTGGAGGGTCTCCCTTCAC